GAGATGAAGAGGAACGGCGAGACGAAGCGGCGGAGGAACGTGGCGGAAGAAGCAGAACAAGGAGGAGAAGATCCGGCGATGTGGGAGAATCTAGATCGGAATTTCAGACAAGTGCAATCAGTTTTAGACAGAAACAGATCGTTGATTCAACAAGTCAACGACAATCACCAATCGAGAATGGCTGATAATATGTCCAAAAACGTCGCTTTGATTCAAGAACTTAATGGAAACATCTCTAAGGTTGTTTCTATGTATTCTGATCTCAATACTAATTTCTCATCGGCTTTTCACGGTGGAAAAAACGGACAAGAAGGTGGTGGTGGTGCTTCCGGAACCAGAGCTAATTAACCGGATCAAATTGTTCTCTTTTTTTTTTCTTAGTTGAACCGGCCGGTTTGGGAATTCTGATAATAGTCGGTTTAAGCTATATGATCTACTATAAGTTATATATTCTGTGTTAAGTTGTTTGTTGCAATGATTGTCGTTAGAATAATCCGTGGGAGAAAACCCATCATTTGGGTTATTTTAATTATGGTTTTGAGTCTTTTTTTCAATGTGTCTCTATTGCAATTTCTATAATAATAATAATATCTGATGTTAGATTGTTCATCCTTTTATATATATATGTTATAATTTTATTTAGATCCACTTCTTATATGATCTCGAGTCCTCGACCACATTAAGGAAGGTTGATGTTCAATTGTTGCACTCACAACTTGGAGTATCACCTAGTGTTGCAATTTGGTATGATATGTAAAGTGACAATTAAATATCAATTATTTTTATATTGACTTTTCAATTTTTATTTCACAATGTTTGGACCTGGTGGGCTTTATACATAATGGACTTGGTTTGGATATCTAGTACCGACACTGGGCTCGAATGTTGAACTGACTTGTATTCGGGTTTTTAGGTAAATACACCAAAACTCATTTATGTCATAAAAAAAAAAAAAGGTTGAAAGTACTGTAGATTGTGATTTAAAAGTTTCGACCAATGTATCTAAAAAACCAATTTCGAATCCGAACCATATTGTTCAAACTTGTATAGTATTTATTAAGCCTTAGTGTTTCATGTAAAATTAAAAAATAAGTGACTTGTGTGAGTCATTGATCTTGTAATAAGCATTTCCATATTCAAAACCAACTATATAGCTATCCGATCCGCAATGGCGTTTGCCGTCAATATTCATAAATTAGAATATTTGTTTTAAATTCACATATAATTATCAATTTTAAACAAAAATTTGTCTTGACCTGAAAAACAAAATACTAAAGTTTTAGTATGTACCTAATCAGTAGGTAATTAATGACATATTAAGGACCTAATCAATTGTTGCTAAAATTGGGAGACGACTTTGTGAATTATTTAGGTGTTGAGCTGAAATTTAATAATAAATTTGATTAGAAACCTGACATCAAACTAAACCGAATTTAATAATTAGGTTTCTATAATTTTCAAATTTAATAATCGGGATTCAAAGGAAATACTATTTCTTCTATGTGTGTGGTTCAACAAACGGATCATAGTAACAATAATAATCGATTCCCACTATTATTCGACATAGAAAAACGGGATGTTTCAATGGTTGAAGAATAAATATATATATTCCTCTGAAAAGTCTTAACAATTTCTAACAACACAAACATTGGAATGAATAATCATTGAGTAACACATGTAAATAAAATAAAATATAAAAATGGAAGATTTAGTAGAGCAGAGAATCCTTAGGCTTGAAGCGATAGATACAATTGAGAACACATTAGGTACCTCTCCAGATGTTGAGTCCCGTCAACAGTGAAAAATATTAAAATTCTTCATCAAACCCAAAACGAAACAAAAATATATATATTTATTTATTTTTAAAATTGACGACAAAAAAAGAAAATTGATATTAAAAATTTACATATAGTGATGAGTTTCCAAACTAACCAATCTGGTTGATCCATAATTACATTCCATGCCACTCCATTTCACA